TTTGTTAGTAATATTATCTGGAAGGTGTCAAGCCTGAAAGGGGATTTTTTTTTTAATGGTCGTAAAACATAATCAGGTAAGTACTTTTCACTTGTTCTTTACTGTAAAGAAAGATTGTTTCGGAAGCACGTTCTTCATTAAAAAGACAGAATTCAAAATTTGTGACAAACAGAGAAAAGACAAAAATTTTGTTTTCTTCTGAATATGAGCACTTTTATTCTCCTTACAAAAATATCTCAAACTAGATGAAAATTTTGGCTTTGGATAATCCTGATTGAGACTTCTGTTTTCCTTTGGTTATACTGCATTAGAAAAGTAGAAGGGGGGCAAGAAAATACCTTTAAAAGATTTTATCACTGAAACATCATCAATGACACTGAGGAAGTCTGCAGAAGGACTAAGAGTCCCACAATTTCTGGAAGTGCCTGGAAGAAGTGCTATTTTTACCATAAGAAATCTCTGCTAACATGTCTTTCTAAAATGCAGGAAATTCTACTGCAATTTAAAATATAACAACAAAGTCTTTACCTGATAATTTTAAGAGAGTAGTGGGGTCTTCACTAGAGTCATTGGTTTCACATCACATGCTAATCTCCCTCCACCCATCCTGGCCCACTCAGTCCACAAGCATTTATAGGAATAAATTAAACTGGCACATATCTGTGCAGGCACTCTTTCTTTGGAAACATGAACTGCTCTTTTCTTGTTCCTCTGTGACTCAAAATATCCTGTTGGGTACAATGTACAATGAGGAACAGATAAGGCAATTTACTATTTTATTTCATTAGCAGAAGATGACTGGCATCTCATGGTCTTTAAATACGGAGATCATGACTGCTACGTCTGCTGATTTGCTATTGCAGCCTCCTCCTTGCTACAATGGGTGTTGTTTGCCTGTGATACTGAAACAACTGGTTTTAAATTTGAAATGTGTGTGTGTGGTGGGGAGAGGAGTGACGCTTACCAGTTACACGAAGAAGGCCTAGCTGTTTACACCACCGCAGCAGGGAGACAGCCCTTCCCAGGAACATCATGCTCGTAACTTAAACCTGGCTGGAAGGAAGCCATGCTCCAAGGTGGGTCAGCAGAAATCCGCAATCCTCCCTTTTTACTTGGAGTTTTCCCTTCCTCTGGAGGCTGAGTGCATGTGCATTTCCTCCCTTCTCCTTAGCAGGTGTCTCTCTCTTCTTACACCTGCCGAAGCCTTCAGTAGTCTCCACTTGTGATTGCCTTTCACAGAGGCCAAGGTTTGCAGGAAAGTGGAGGAAAAGGGGGTAAGCCTGTCCTACCATAAGAAATACTCTTGCTGGTTAACCCCTTTAGCAGAGGTGCCTGCCATATTGCTTACAAGAAGGTGAGAGAGCTGGAGGCTGAAGGCTAGAACCATTTCACCAATACCCTTGCCCAATCTTTGCCATCAGAACGGCTCCTTGGCGGCACAGCACTCAAGCACCAACTTCCCAGGCTCCAGCCTCCCGCTAGATCTGAGGGTGCTGATTCAGCATTTTCATTGCATGAGCGAGCCAGGAAATGATAATCCGAGCCCTGTTCCCCAGCCTGATGCTCTTCCAGGCTGGAGACCGATTTGTAAGAGAAAGGGCAGACCAGCGACCCAAGGAAACGGTAAACACAAAAGAAATCCCAAGGGAGGCATTGCTTAGTCTTAGTGCTCCTATTCTCAAAATGAGCTTTCTGTTGTGCTTTTTTATTACATTTCATAGGGGCTAAACTAACAAGATATTAGCACTGGTGATAGGGTTTTTTAAAACTATTTATTAAAATATATGATTTAAGAATTTTCTCTTAATCAGTGGTAAACAAAACATAGCAAGAGATTTCTTCTGTGTCTCTCCATACATTGGCATTAGAGGTAAAGCACTAGCCAAAAACAGACTACTTGAGGGATTGCAGAAATAAATTGGGCAACAGTTCATTTTCTACTTTCGCTGGCACATAAAGCTTGAATAGAATGACTTCTCTGAGCAAAACAGTATGAATGAGAGAAATGAACTGAATTTTGTAACTCTAAATTTAAATAACAAAAAAAGGTAAAACTACCGTGGCCAGGATTTACTTTGAGAATCCATAACAGTGTATACCAGATAAAGCAGCCAGATCTTCAAAGCAGCTCTCCAAAAAGGAGAGCACTTGCTAGAACAGGCCAAAGACTGTCATCCACATAAAAATCCTGAATTAACAGTTGAGGATGGAATGCAGAGTCAAGGTAGCTAAAGATAATGTAAATATTGCAAATTTTTGCAATTTTGTTTCTAACCTTTACAACACATACTTGACCTTGTGCTTCATTGGTATAAACTTAAGACCTTTCCTCAAACTTCGTCTAGCAGTGAGGCTTCCAGGTTAACAGACAGCAGGAACAAATAATCTGTTTACAAGGTGGACTGAAGTATTCTTATAGTGTGTGACAGCAGTGTATTTCATGAACTTTGCGGGGAAGAAGGACCACATAGCTCTTCCACATAGCTGCAAAGAGCAGCTGAAGAAGTAGTACAAACACATGAGGGAAATGGACTTTCGTAAATACAAATAAGCACTTCTCCATCAAGCAGGTAGAATATGGGGAGGATTCTGTGAATATGCACACTAGCTGCACAGGAACGTAGCTCTAGCTTTTCCTGATGGCATAGTCCGGAGTAAACTAATTTGTATGAAGTCCTTTAGGTGAAAATTATATTTTCTAATGGCCTTTGCCAGACCTAGTGAAGAAGGTTTTCCCTTACTGGAATTGTCCCTATATACCCAGGTTGTTGTTCCCGTGATCAATAAAGTGTGCTGCAGCTGTCTGTGACTTGCTCACCCTACCAAACCAAGAAATCATCTGCCTCTTCCATGGAGTGGAAGGGCTTGTGGCAGTTCTGCAGATTTATGGGTTAGCAAGT